TTATAACTCATGCTACTATAAAGACACATGCACATGTATGTTTATTGTGGTACTATTCACAATAGCAAAGACTCGGAACCAACTCAAATGTCCACCAATGATAGACTGGATTAAGAAACTGTGGCACATATACACCATGGAATACTATGCAGCCATAAAAAAGGATGAGTTCATGTCCTTTGCAGGGACATGGATGCAGCTGGAAACCATCATTCTCAGCAAACTATCGCAAGGACAGAAAACCAAACACCGCAAGCTCTCACTCATAGGTGGGAGGTGAACAATGAGAACACATGGACACAGGGTGGGGAACCTCACACAGCAGGGCCTGTAAGTGGGTGGGGTGCTGGGGGGAGGGAAAGAGTTAGGAGAAATACCTAATGTAAATTACGAGTTGATGGGTGCGGCCAACCAACATGGCACATGTATACCTATGTAACGTACCTGTACATTCTGCACATGTACCCTAGAACTTAAAGTGTATATATACATAAAAAAAAAACCTGACTAAAATTTCATCTGCTTTTTATTTCCACCAGGCACTGGTGATTCTATGTCAGTCAGCAGTGTGCTGGTAAATGTTCAACAACTGACTCTCTGGGGAAAATAGAAATGTGTGCCTACATATACAACCATATGTGTGTTATAAATGTTTCTGATATAAAGGATGTGTAATAAACAATACACAAGTAAAAAATAGGCAGACACTCTTTATTGTCAGTTCTGTCTACTTGACTGATTCTCACAGAAAGTTTTGGTTCCTTTTTGCCAAAGGCTTGTATCTGAATCGATCCAATGCTTGTAGCTCAACCATGATGTGACTAGTGAAATTACACACTGATTTTTGCTAATAAATTTATTGTCCTTAATCTGATATGTGATCTGTTAAACTGCTTCTAACCCTTGTATAAACTCATTAAACTGCAATCTTTTTGTTTCAGCACTAAGCACAACACATTTTAAAGTTTAATCCACATTATTAACATTTTCCCCATCACTTTCTTAAGTCTAGAGACAATCAGCAAAACAAATCGATCCCTGATTCATAATGTTGGCTAATTTCCATGGTGTAAATACTTCGACCATGGCCCATTACAGTCTACCAATGAGACATCACTGAGTGTGGGCCGGGAAGACGCATGTGCAGTAAGCACATTATGATACCTAATACTGGAAATGGAAGGAAGTGGACAGACTGCAGAGATATTTAGAAAGTAGAATCTTGGCAATTTGTTAGATGCCGGGGTGAAGGCAGAGTTTGGGAAACACTGGATGGTGGTGTCTTCACTATCACAGGGAGACAGGGAGTTGAAAGCAAGCAGGGAAAGCACACATTCAGCTTTGGATGGGTTCCATTTGAGGAGCTTGTTACGAGGAATAGCTGAATAGGAAGCTAGACAAACGGATTTGGAGTTCAGAGGAGCAAAGATTAGAGTTGTAAATTTGGGATATATTGATTTAAATGTTGACAGCAGGTTAAATCATTTAGGGAAAAATTGTGGAGAGGAAAGGTCTGAGACCTTGAAAACTCTGTTACTTGGTGGTCACCCAGAGCAGACAAGCACGCCAAGACTAGGGACAGACAGGAAATTGGAGCACCCTCCCGCCACAGGAAGACGTGTTTTAAGGAGGAAGATCAGGTAACACAAGAAAGGAGAGTGTCCTTTGACTTTAGTGATGTGGATGTTCCTTGCGACCACTAAAAAGGCAATTTCACCGGGTGTGAAAAAGAACACGTGAATGGAGTTGAGAGACGACAAAACTGGGGGGAGGCGCCTTTCACCAACTTCAGCGGTGCGAGGGGAAGTGGAGTAGAGTCTTGGGAATGATGAAATGCCGAGGATACGGATTCCAGCCCAGAGGGAGCAATGCATCGGATTCTTCGATACTGGAAAAACGGACGGGGGGCGGGGGGGTCGGTGACGTAGGGAGCAGGTAGTGCAGTTTTGCCGGTGGAAAGTGGAAGAAGTTTCTCTTTTTTCCTGAAGCAGGCAGCAAAGACCTCTCAGAGTGGGAGTGTGGGGGATGTGCCGGCCACCCGGATGGGAGTGGAGGTTTGGGACCAAGTGGCCCGAGCCTGCGGTGAGTGGGCCCGCCCTGGGTGGCTCTGGCCGCAGCAGGGTCGATGGGGCAGCACGGTTTCAGCAGGAAGAACACGGCTTCAGTCAGTTCTGTTCTGAGAAGCAGAAGGTGGAGACACGCACATTTTAAAAAACTCCTCCCGGACAGGAAGAAGTGAAGTTCTGGCTGTTCCGCGAGGACGCCGCAGTCCCAGCGCGGAGACCACCGCGCGGGCGAAGTGCGACCCAGGCCAGAAATAGGGTCCTGCACGTGGACCGCGGAGGAAGAAAGAGGGCTCACCCGGGCTCCCGCAGCTAGCCTCGCCCGACCAGGCTGGTGCCGCCTCTTCCCGCCCCGGCCCCGCCTCAGCTCCGCGCCCACAACCCGGCTTCCTCCTCTCCCGCCTGGTCGGTCTGTCCCTGCGCCTCCTTCGCCGCCGACTAGCGCCCCCTGGCCTGACGTCACCGGCGCGTCCGCCAATGAGCTGAGGAGGGACTCGGCTGCGACCTGAAAGTGACGGGAGCAGCAGCCAATGGTCGGGCGGAGGGGGCGGGTCGAGATGGGTGTTGGTGGGGAGCCCGGGCGCGTGGGGAGCTGCGGGAGGCGCGGGGCGGGGGGCAGGGGCGCGGCGGGGGGGTCGAGGGGGGCGGTGCGCGGGCGGCCCCTCCCCCTGTCAGGTCCGGGCGGGCGCCTGGAGCCGCCGGAGTTTCCGCACCCGGGAGGGCGATGCGGCCGGGGCTCAGGCTCCTTGCAGGTAACGCGCGGGGCGGCCCCTGCAGGGCCGAGCGCGCCGCGGGGCTAGTGGAGTTGGACGCGGAGCCGGTGCGGGCTCCCCGCTGCTGCCGAGTCCCGAGCTCCGCACGGTGGCCCGGGCCCGGCCGCGGCGCTGCTAGAGGAGTTGGTTCTGGGACCTGAGCTGCGGCCCGGGCTGGGGTCAGGGGAGACGCGGGCCCCTGTGTGAGCTGCACACGGGACAAAGGGCGCGGTGTTGAGGCTGCGCGCCCCACCTCCCCGCGCCCCGCTCGGGCCCCTGCGCTACTCAGCCCGAGCGGAGGTCGCCGCCCCCAGCCCCTGCCTTCAGCCGCGCGGGCGCTCCTTCGGCCCGGGGGCACCCGGCGCCTGCGGCGCGTCCCCGGAGCGGCCATCTGGCCGCGGGGCCCCGCGCCTGGCCGCCAGCTGGCCGCGGCGCAGGCGATGGCTGGACACAGCCGGGCCGCTTGGCTGCTTGCCCTGGGTTCCGCGGCGGCTCCCCCACCGCGCCGCGAGCGCCTGCTACTCCATGCTCGGCTGCGGAGCGGAGCGGCGCGAGCGCGGGGCCAGCGGCCCGGGCGCCCTGGGCCACCGAGCCGCCACTTCCCGGCGTGGGCTCAGAGTTTGGGGAAGCCGAGCAGGTGGCGCAGCCACTGCCCACCTCCTGCGAACTCTGCGGGGCTTCTAGTCTTGTTGATGTTGTGACTATGGGCTGTGTGTGTGTGTTTCTTTTTTTTTTTTTTTTTAACCACACACAAAAGAAGGGAGGAGTTAGAGGAAAGATTTAGCCACTATGAGTCATCCCACACTTCGCTCTTTCCCCGGGATAGCAAATGCATGGAGAGAATGTCTTGAGAAACAGTTATAGTAGGGACTGCCTAGGTCCCCTCCCTGTCCCCTTTCTCTGCAGTCCTGTCTGCGCCGGGCACGCCCCAGATGGAGGTGGGGTAAAATGACGGCCAGCGCACCTAGATGGGGGAAATGGCTACAAGCTAGCAAGCTGGAAACTTTCTGGGACAGTGGAGCTGTGACTATCGAACCACTCACATTCTTGCTATAGGCAGCCATGGCCCTCGTGCGCTACTGAATTATAAATGGGAAGGCCGTCACAGCAGGACGATACCTTAGCCTTCAGTAGCATGAATTCAGCACTGCACGGAGGAGGGCGGTGGTGGTGGTTCACGCCTCTGCCTTGAGGGGCCCAGGATCGGATCAGCCAGGAAACTGCCAGGACCGGGGATGTGGGGTCACAAGTGATCATGTTCTCTAATCTGATTCCCAGAGGTGCTGTCACCTCTCAGCGTGGCAGAGGATGGCTGGCTATGTGGTTGAATGTCACATGTGAGGTAGAAAGTCTGGGCAGAGGTCAGCAGGCCCCTGGATGCCTGGAGAAGAATATTCTTCTGTAGGTGGCTGCTGCTAATTTTTCCAAGGGGAAACATTTAGGTTTGGTGTCGCCATTCTGTTTACTGCAGTCCAGGCTGCTGTGTCAGCTGTCATTGGGTCCTCATGGTTCACAGCTGGATGACATTTGTTTTTCGCGGGTCCCTGTGTGGGGTCTTTTTGACCTTCTCACAGATAATTAATTTGTTTTAACCTGCTGAAAACAGAGGCTTGATACGAGACGTTTGAGAAATTGTAGGATAAAGGGACCTCTGCTTTGTTCCAGATCTCAGCCCCTGTTGAGGGGCCAGTTGATTCTGTTGCAGGAGTCAGGTAGCGAGCAGAACACTGACTTCATTCCTCCCGGGTTGTGCCCTCTGCTTGGCCTGTAGCTGAGGCCACAGTGGGTCTCTCTTGTTGCTTCATAAGGTGAACTAACGATCCAGCTATGACAGAGGAGCCAGGCGGGACATCACGTGGAGAAGAGGGACCAGAAAGTGCAAGCTAGGGCCCATCTGGAAGAAAACAGAGCATCCCTTCCTATTTCATGGCCTGAGTGTAAAAAACGGTGGAGGCTGGGCACGGTGGTTCACACCTGTAATCCCCATGCTTTCGGAGGCCGAGGCAGGAGGATCGCTAGAAGCCAGGCGTTTCAGACCAGCCTGGGCAACATGGTGAGACCCTGTCTCTACAAAAAAGTTTTTAAAATAGCCAGGCATAGTGGCATATGCCTATAGTCCCAGCTACTTGGAAGGCTGAGGTGGAAGGATCCCTTGAGCCCAGTAAAGTGAGGCTGTGGTGAGCTATGATCATACCACTGCACTCCAGCCTGGGTGACAGAGTGAAACCCTGTCTCAAAAAAAAAGGGGAAGGGGTATAGAGAGGGTGGTCCCCCATCTCTACCACCTTACTCATACAGGGCTTCTTTTACCTGAGTGCCAAGCCTGGCTCAGGTCATTGAGGAACAGAAGTCGTTTAGTGTTAGAGGAAGGAGAGTTGGGAACAGGGTCACTGTGTATGGTTGTACAGTTTGTACCAGACACCGGACCAAGGAAGCCATGTGCCCTGGGTCTGCCCAAAAGAAGGGTCTGCCTTTCTCAGTTGCACCAGGTCACCCGATGAGCTGCTGCTGGCCCTAGTGCTCAGCCCATCTGCAGGAATAAACAGTCGCAACATGGGTGTGCTCAAGACAGGCGGTCAGGGACTAGGAAGCAGCGGCTAATTTCTCCAAAATCTAACAATAATGAGAACTGGTTGTTTGCATGCATTTTCTCCCTTTAATCCTTTACCACCGCCCTCTGAAGAAAGTAGTGGTGGTACCATGTTGTGCCCAGTGAGGAAACTGATTCTTGGAAAGACTAAGCAGTTCAAGGTCGTGCAGCCAGCAGGTCCAGGTTTGTCTGTCACCAGAGCCTTTGGTCTCAACCACTGGACTAGACTGATCACTTTGCCTGGCCTTCTAACAAATTGTAGCTTTTTTTTTTTTTTTTGCATTTCCTAGTGAAAGGCATTTTCCAAACTATTCCACTATGTACATTAACAGTAAATCCCTTGAAAAGAGCATTTGTCAGTATTTTCGGTGGCAGCAAAGATGTGGGAGGCCTTGGAGAAAGGAGAAGGAGCCCCCTGAGATAGAGAAGCAGGGGAGTCACAGCGAGGAGGGGAGAGCCAGCCAGAACTAGGAAATGATGTGGGGGCAGGGGCATTGGAGGTAGGCCAGGTTCTCTGCTGTCCCTGCAAGAGCAGAGGAGGAGATCATCTGAGATCCACTGAGTCATCCATCCAGTTGACTTCCCAAGAGTTTGGACCTGGCCTACCAGGGTACCTGGTTGATGGTACGGTCCACAGTCTACCTTATATATACTGGGGCTGTTGCTTGGAACATATTGCTTGGAACATGATTATTGCTTAGAGCATGATTATTGCTTGGAACATGATTATTGCTTGGAACATGATTATACTTAGAACATGTTATGCTTAGAACATATATTGCTTAGAACATGACTATGCTTAGAACATAGTCATGTTCTAAGCAATCTGAGGTACGGCTGCTAATTTAGGAGCACAAAGTATTTCCTGATTTAGTATTCTACTTAGAAGGCCATTTGAACCTTGACAAACGTGTGTGAAATAATTTTCAAATATTTGGGACTGAAGCAGATAATATCCAGGCTCAGTGGTACACTCCTGTGGTCCCAGCTACTTGGGAGACTGAGGCAGGAGGATTACTTGTGCCCAAAAGTTGAATCTAGTCTGGCAACATAGCAAGACACCATCTCCAAAAATATATTGCATGAGCCAGTAAATTCACTATTGAAACAATAAAGCAGATAACGTCAAAACCAGTTACATGACCTTTTGTCAACTCATGACTCTATTGTGCATTTCAAATTGCTATAAATTGTTTGTTTTCCTTCACAGTAATTTTCTAAATTTTCTTATTCTCTCCATGTTAAATCATAGTATCTTCCTAACTATTCAGTGTTTGGCTTTGTTGGGGTTTGTTGTTTCCGACAGGGTCTCACCCTGTTGCCCATGCTGTAGAGCCGTGGTGTGATCTCAGCTCACTGCAGCCTGGAACTCCTGGGCTCAAGCAGTACTCCCACCTCTCAGTCTCCCGAGTAGCTGGGACTGCAGCCATGCGCCTCCACACTCAGCTAATTTTTGTATTTCTTTGTAGACATGGGGTTTCACCTTGTTGCCCAGGCTGGTCTTGAACCTCTGGGCTCAAGCCATCCACCTGCCTCAGCCTCCCAAAGTGCTGGGATTACAGGTGTGAGCCATTGCAACCAGCCTTGGTTTGTTGTTTTTTAAGTAGCAGGAGTAATTTCTTTAGCTGAAATGTAAGCATAGATGTTGAGGCCTGTGTGCTGACCTGTGTTATGTTTGCGTTGTAATTTAGATTTGAGAAGTGGTTTATCCTTTGACTGGAAAAGAAAAGTAGCTGCAGTATGCCCCCAGCACTTGCTGAGAGCATGCCTTACGTCAGGCTGTGAGGCTTGAGAGACAAGCAGTGGAAGAGTTGTGGCCTGTTTCATCTCTGGATTATACATCTGAGCCTCCTTCTGGCTCCTGGAAGGGGACAGCATCACCATGGAATGGTGTGTCCCGTTGCCTGTTGGATCTGTCTCCATCTTCACTCAGACAGAAGGCTATAGAAGGATGCCTGTGACTTCAGGTGGCCTATTTGGCTGGCTTTTTATTGATTCCATGGTCTGGGGTATCCACTTAGAGATCCAGAAACAAATACATCCAAACTGTCTTCCCAGTCAGGGGGCTGGGATTCTCTTTCATCTTGGCAGGAGAAGAACAGGGTCCAGGTCCCTTAGTAAAGACAGGAGCCTCGGTACCAATCAACCAGATACTAAAAGGGATTTCCCACAGAAAATCATTCTGTGCCTCTGCTTTCAGCCTTCTGGAAGAAAGTATAATAGCTGGCCTCCCCTGAGCCTTCATTACAGCCAGGCGGTGTTGGGAATCCCGTTTAACCCTCATGACAACTCTAGAAGGCAGGCACTCCTACCACCCCCATTTTAGTGTTGAGGAAACAGGCCCAGAGAGGTCAAGTGAGTTGCCCAGAGGTACCCCAGGTCAGAACCAAGCAGTCTGACCCAAACCTGATCCTGGTGAGTCCAAAGAAAGCCCCTGTCCAGGATGTGGTGGGAATGGGGACAGATAAAAGTGTGAGTTTGGGGGTAGGTTGGGATTTGTTTTGGCGAATTCCAAGGCAGGAAGCTATCAGGCACCTCTCACCGCTGACCGTTAAGATGCTTTGCCGAGGGCCGCAGGGGGTGGGCTCAGAGAGGAAAGAGGCTGTGCACAGGACCGCACAACTAACACATGGCAAGGGTAGGGCACAGGCATCCCCGGTGAGAAACATTATGCCCATTTGAAAGAAAAGTTCAAAATAGTATATATTTTTATCTTGACTCTTTCACCAGGATTGAAGGTCATATCCTCACATCGAATAGCCTCCCTTCCTTTCCTTTGTATGGCTCAGCCTTTTCTGGGACAAGATATTGTCCCCACCAGTCATTTCCTCTATCTGTCCTCTGTGTCGAGCCACTAGCCTAGGAACCCAGCATTCGATCCTGTGCCCCGCCTTACGGTTTCTCCATTCGACTCCCGTGTCTCTGTCTCAGAGTCTCAGCTCCCTGGCCTGTGTGCCTGAATGCTACAAATAGACCATAAGCTCTTTCAGAAGCAGGATTGTGTTTTACACACTACCCTCTCTCCTGCCACACACGCAGTGTGCTAAAACCCAGCAATGACTATTTATTGATTTTTCTTGATTGGATGAGGTAAGATGGTAAACTTCTTTTTTTTAAGCTCTGTAAACTGGTTCAAGGATGATTAAAAATGATTTGCCTTGTGGGCTTGATGAGGATACCATTAAATTCATGTTTCTAAAGGGTATTCCAGCATCAGAAACCAAAGGGCATCTGATTTGATAGATCCTGTGGTCGGGCCCAGGTATCTGCATGTGTCCCGTGTGACTTTTCTGCCCACTAAAGTTTGGGAAGCACAGCTTCAAATTGTTAATGATCACATCCTATAAAATCATAGCATAAATGACTATCTAGCTGTTACTCACGGTGCCCACTGCAGAAACGGTCCTACCAGTGTTGATGAATATTTATATGGTGTTGTCTTTCCTGCAGATTCCTAACCAGCATAATGCTGGAGCCGGGGGCCAGCAGCCTGCAGTTTTCAGAATGGCCGTGTTGGACACTGATTTGGATCACATTTTTCCATCTTCTGTTCTTCCTCCACTCTGGGCTAAGTTAGTAGTGGGATTGGTTGCCATTGTGTGTTTTGCACGCAGCTATGATGGAGACTTTGTCTTTGATGACTCAGAAGCTATTGTTAACAATAAGGTTTGTATCTCAACTCTCTTCTGGTAAACTTAACCGCCCACCTGTGTCTCAGTAACCATCTAAGTTTGTGTTGCATTGTTCTCCGTGGAACGTAGGGTAAGCATTGGCCTGGGCCCCAATGGTGCTCTCGATTTTTCTGTCTCTTTTCAACATCGCCTCCTTGATTTAGTGCCTTTCTTATTGCTGTCACTAAGGTTCCGAACCCCTGCCTGAGCTCCGACGTTCCCCTCAAGAGCCCCAGTCCCCATATGGATCAAAGAGGCCGTTCTTCTAAGATGACAAGGCAAGGGTATTGCAGGGCATTGCAGACTTAGTATTTCAGATTTTGTGAAACATTTCCACAGTTGTTCAAAAAAAAAAAAAAAAATCCCATCATGCACTTGCTGCAGTGATGGAGGGGTGCGATCACCTGCCAGAAGGTGTGTCTTCAGCAGCAGGCAGGGAGCTGGCTGCCGCTTTGTCCTTCTCCGAGACTGTCAGGACAGCCTGCTGACAGCTGCTGGGGCAAGAGGAATGTGCTGCCAATGGGCGCTGCAGTTCCTGCTTGTTTGGTGTTCGGAGAGTCAGTTTTGCTGGACTTGCAGAATCCCAGTCAATTTTGCTTACCAGTGGTTGCTATGTATCAGTGCAGGACAAATGGTAATCTTTTTCCACTCCCTACCCGGAGTTAGGGCAAAAGAAAGAGGTTTGTGGGAAAAGGTGAAAAAGATTCAAGCAGGCTACAAACCAGAGCAAGAAATGCAGAGGCAAGCAAGACCCAGAGGAGAAAGAACTGGGAAATGGCACAAGTTAGTCTCTCGACAATCTATTACTCAGAAGATATTTTCTGTGTGTTCCTTAGCCAGTGAAGAAGACTTGGAGGAAAATACACATTTAGCTCCCTGCTAGATATAATTAGAGCAACTCTTTGTAACACTGTTGAATGCTCTTAAAAATCTAAAGTCGTGGATTCTACCAAATAAGTGGAAAGTCATTTTCATGCTGAAAATGTTGAGAACTCTCTATGTGACAAGCATGTATTGTATGGGGGGGAACATGACTGATTTGCGTATATTTATTTGTGACATAATATTGCAATTGATCTCCATTTTGATGGCACAGACTAGATCATTGTTAATGGGTTTTTGTTGTTGTTGTTGTTGTTGAGACAGTCTTGCTCTGTTGCCCAGGTTAAAGTGCAGTGTCACGATCTTGGCTCACTGCAACCTCCGCCTCCAGGGTTCAAGCAATTCTCCTGCCTCAGTCTCCCAAGTAGCTGGGACTACAGGCATCCCATGCCTGGCTAATTTTTGTATTTTTTGGTAGAGATGGGGTTTCACCATGTTACCAGGCTGGTCTCGAACTCCTGACCTCAGATGATCTGCCTACTTTGGCCTCCCAAAGTGCTGGGATTACAGGCATGAGCCACCACACCCAGCCAATGTTTATTTTTAATTCAAGTTCTTCATTTGTAATTTTCCTCAAATTCACTCAGCAGTTACTGTAGATGATTCTGTTTCAGTTCTTTTTTAAACCATGCTTAAAAGAACTAAGTAAGTCTACACAGCTATGTCAAACTGGTGGCTTTTTCATGAGGTGGGGACAAAGTCTTACTCTGTTGCCCAGGCTGGAGTGCAGTGGTGCAGTCATAGTTCGCTGCAGCCTCCAATGCCTGGGCTCAAGTCATCCTCCCGTCTTAGCCTCCCGAGTAGCTAGGATTACAGTCATGCACCACCACGCGCAGCTGATTTTTAAAATTTTTTGTAGAGACAGAGTCTCACTGTGTTGCCCGGCTGATCTCAAACTCCTGGCCTGAAGTGATGCTCCCACCTTGGCCTCCCAAAGTGCTGGGATTACAAGCACAAGCCACCATGCCCAGCACAGATTGGTGGCTTAATGGCCACAGAATTGTTTTTCTCACAAAGATAGAGTTTTATTATTTAAATTCCATTATTCGTTTTGGTGAGAATATCTTGACTCTTCCACTCGTGTGAAGCAGAAGACATATAAAGTGTTAATTCAGAAACCATGTTGAAAAATGTTGGTCAGCTAGGAAGAACAAAAACACGAGTCGTGTTGTGTGTGGAGGCCCTGGTGTCTGGGTGTAATTCTCGTTCCTTCTGTGAGGTGAGGCAGATGAAGCCATTTCGTGGTTCTGCTGAGCATGGTCTTGGCAGTGTTTTTGGGAGCATCACACTGTGCCCCTTTTGTTAACTTGCTAGCCCTCCCTTTTTCTTTTCCTAGTTAATGAAAGGCACTCCTCCATTCATTGGCACTGTGCCTACAGTAATGTGAAACAGGCTGTTACTGGATTTTAGTGATGTTAGAGACTGTTTTCCAGATGCTTCCTTGCCGTGTGGAGTTGCCTTTTTTGTTCCTTGAGATGATGATCTTTGAGACAGTGGAGTTAGGGGGAATTTTAGACACAATACATTTTTTCCATAAATCATTATGCGGAAGAATTGACCTTTCTTTCTGTAGCACACCCTGCTGTGGAGGCTCCACCTAATCAAATATTTAGAGCCTCGTTGGTGTTCATTTCCTGTTCAAAGGGAGGAAAAGATCCTCCACCCCAGCCCCTCACAGCTGACCGGGTGCTTCTGTAAGAGTGTAGAAGAAGGTAGGTTTCCAGGCTTGTCACTGAGTCAACGAAGGGAGCAGGTGACTCACACGACCTTCACAGAATCTCTAACCCATTCTCGGGGAGTGGTCAGTGCACTCCTGGCCTCTGAAGCTGATCGCTGTGGAAGCAAATGTCACCCTTAACAGTGGACATTGGTGACCAGCTTTGCATCTGTCACCTCTTTTCAAGCCTTTCCCTTTGAGTCAGCAAGCGCTTAAGTCGCAAGTGCCGAGCTGCACGGTGGGTGTGGACCTTTATTGCTCTTTGGGGCCACCCATCATTTGATTCATTTCTGTTTGGGGCATTCTTAGGTGCTCAGAAGACGATTTGATTAGGGAACTGGCACAGATGGGCTGTCCCGTCAGGTGCGCCCACCTGTTGGAGTTAGGAACTGGTCACGCGAGGTGGGGGCCCAGAGGCAGCCGGGCAGTCTCTGCGAGGTGCCCGGGGCATGATGGGTGGCTTTGCTCCTGCCATGTGGCCCTGCCCTGGCTTTCCAGGCCACAGGGGACTCTGTGAGCTGCACACTGCCCTTTGAAGAATTCCCTTTTTGTTTAAATTAATCAGAGTTTGGTTATTGCAATGAAGAATCTTGACTGACAACCCAGGGAAATGATCAGCATGTTGTTATTTCTAGTCCCTAAAACATTGGTTTAATTACGCTTTAAAGAGAAAGTTAATCTGTCATTTTTCTTACTTACTCCACCACAGTGCCTTGTTTGCCTCTCTTCTCTTTAGACACAATTTAAGCCATCTACTTTCATCTTTTAAATGTAAAAAAAATGCATTTTAAGCATCTGTAGTATAGTACCAAATTAAACTACCTCAGCAGTAAGAGAGGTATAGAGTTTTTTTAATATTGAGTGATTTTTGTCTGTAAAAATTAAGGATTTTTTTCTGATTTCATAGTCTGCTAGCTCATGATCAAAAATGGAAACTTACGAAAATATGTTTATCCACTTTTGTGTTTTAACTGGGACATTTTGGTAAGTTACCCTATTTATTAGATGTGAGAAGTTAATAGTGATCTTATTTAGCTGTGTGGTCCACTTATATTTGACACATATTAAGCACCTTCTGTATATAGCCAGCAAACCCAGATGTGGCCCAGTCCTCGTGGAGCCCAGTCTAGTGGCACAGACAAATAGTCATGTGACTGTAAGTCGCCAGGGTGCCACGCACTGCTTGACAGGGTGAGATGCCCAGAGACCCATGGAAGAGGGATGGGATCAGCTCAGGAAGGGCAGAGCTGGGCAGCTGGGAGATGAATGGCGGGAGGAGTTGAGCCGTGAAGAGTTGAGGGTGACTGTCCAGGGACGACCCGCACATGCAGAGCCTCTGGGTTGGGAGCTGGCAGGAGCACAGCACCAGAGACATGGGCCTGCAGAGTTCAGGGGAAGCTGTCGGTCCCAGGAGGGTGAAAGCTGATGGTGTTTGAAGCCCGGTGGGGTGAGCCCACGTGTAGTTTGAGATGATCAACATAGAGAACATGCTGGGCGCAGCAGCCCCGCTAGGAGGCCTGACTGCATCCCGGGTGAGAGATGGAGGAGCTTGGCTTAGGGCTGGTGGGAGACCCTTGTCCAGAACGTCCCCTTTGTGTCCCTGCAGGACCTCCAAGCAGAAACGCCCCTTGGGGACCTGTGGCACCATGACTTCTGGGGCAGTAGACTGAGCAGCAACACCAGCCACAAGTCCTACCGGCCTCTCACCGTCCTGACTTTCAGGTAAGCCGTGACATCGAAGGGCCTGGGAAGGTCACTCCCGGCTTGTGTGTGACATTGGAGACAGGTGTGTGTCAGCAGGCTCTCAGCATTCAGGAGTCCAGTCAGTGACTCAGGTGGGGTCTGAGCTGCTCACATACATGGATGTCTAGGTGCAGAGAAGGCGAGCGGGGCCCCTGTGAAGGATGGCATGCACATGGGTGGTGGTTCATAGTTTTCTCAGTTCTTGGAGGTTTGACCCTTTGCTGGTTAACACCAATGGAATAATATGAGTGAAAGCGACATGAGGCCTCTGATGAAACTTATCTCTTTCACTACAGAAATAAATAAGGTATAAGTCTTCCTACTGTTACCAAGTCAATATGCAAAAGCAAGATGCAGCTTGCAAACAATCCCCCCTCCATTAAACAGGGAGCCACTTGCACTGAATAGATGCATTCACCTCACAAAGGTTCTCGTCCATACCTGTTTCTCGGGTGCATTTAAACACTTGTGTGTAGACGTCCCACAGGAGCGTAGGAGTGATGAATTGGAACCACCAACAGCTGAGAAGCAGTCAGACTAGGAATCCCTGCCAGCGGAGGGTGTTTCGCTGGGGGAAGGCTGGTGGGCATACTGATAAGGAGCCCTTTGGAGGATAAGCAAGGTATAAGACTCTCTTAAATCCAGGTCCCTAGGGGGTAGCCATGAGTAATGTGTGGAATATTGTATCTTCCTGGAATGCAGCCTTGCCCCTTCTGCATGTAAAACATCGTCTAGCTTTCCTTTCGATTTTCCTCTGCAAGTTGCTTCAGTGCCACTCGCCTTGGACACATCCATTTCATCCCTTTTTCCCTGTAGTTACATTCCCACCTTTTCCACAGCCTTCTTAGCTCGACAGGCATTATTTATCTTGGTGCTATTTTTATCAAGCTGGCACAAAGTCTTCCACTTCTCCTTTCAGTATTTCCACACACAAGCCTTCCTTCCCCTCCAGACCGTTGCCATTTCTTGCCGCGTGCCGCTGCACGTGTACCCTGAACTCCCTGTGTTTCTGCAGGATTAACTACTACCTCTCGGGAGGCTTCCACCCTGTGGGCTTTCACGTGGTCAACATCCTTCTGCACGGTGGCATCTCTGTCCTCATGGTGGATGTCTTCTCGGTTCTGTTTGGTGGCCTGCAGTACACCAGTAAAGGCCGGAGGCTGCACCTCGCCCCCAGGGCATCCCTGCTGGCCGCGCTGCTGTTTGCTGTCCATCCTGTGCACACCGAATGTGTAAGTGTCGTCTGCACGAGGCATCTGTATGCACGTGAGAAGTGATGTGACACCCCCGTGTCGCCTGGTTTCCTAAAACAGGCTCCCTTTATGTACCCATCTTGGTTCCAGAGCTGGAGAAAGTCTACTCCACAGTATACTCTAGAAATAGAAAGGACACTACATAAATACCCTGCCAGACATTTGAAACAATTCTGTCTGGGGCAGAGACATCTCTCTGGTGAAAAAAAAATGCAGAGCACCATATTGGTGGAGACTGTGTAATAAGGTATGGTGTGATCTCTGCTGATACTTTCTGTTTAGCTTCTAGGATGACACCAGCGGTGAAGACATGGATGTTAAATATTGCCGGGCTTTGGGGTCTGAAGTTCGGAGGCTAAGAACTGTTCTTCAATGGAGGGTCTGATGCAGTGTTTCTGTGTTCGCTGACAGTTCTATGATTTATAAAATCCTTTCTTAGACTTAACATGATTGTTACGAAAACGCTGTGACATCACCTGGGCTAATATAACCGTTTCCAGTTTAGGAATGAGGGAAAGGCGTGGGGGGATAAAAATTTATCCAGGGTGAGGAGCAAGTGGATGTTGGGCAGGACTTAAATTCTGGGCTTCCCCGGCCTCCACTGAGGAGATGCTGACATACTTGGTGTTGAACTGGAAAGTGGTGCCCGTGCCCTGCTGGGGAGCTGCTCGTGAAGCCTCTCCACCCTCCTCCTCCTCACCCTGTGTGATCCTCTCCCCAAGGTGATCAGGCAGCTCTGGTGGGTGCCCACCCTCCTGGAGGCTACGTCTCCATCCCATCGAGCTGCCTCTGTGTATTTGGAATAGGCTGTGCTGGGATTTCACTAGACATTTGTGAAGTTTTCAGGAACCACCCCCTGCACCACCACATGGACCCTTTGAAAATGCAAAAGGCAGCATGTTTGCTGAGGGACGAGATTTGACTCGAGTCATTCATTCTGTGAGCACGAAGTGCGTAAAATAATCACATACACTTTATAACTTCCCTCACGGTAGACTTCTCATTTCATCGGGATTGAAATCTCTACATTTAACCAGTTACATGTTGCTTCTTGGAGTTTCAAGATGCTGAGCAGAAGTCCTGTTTTTAGCATCTGACTTTATTAAATTGTCTATTCTTCAGTATCAGGAGTGTTGTGGAGTTGTTATCACACCTTCCTCCTGATATCTTTTTAAATCTTTATTTTTTACCTCAGCAAATTCAGAGGACGTTAAGGGCTGGATAGGCTGGGGATGGCCGTGTAAAAATTTAGTTATAAGCTCTTTATAGATAACTGTGACTGAATTAGACTTTGTTTCAATCCGAGTTCTCTCTGGGACCCAGATATAGTGTAGCCAGTGGTCCTGAATAAGGGACTGGAAGACAGGGACTCACTGGAGAAGTTCTGGCTCTGTCTTCCTTCTCATCTAGTTTAGCGTGATCTCAAAAGCAAAATAAAATACTTGAATTATTAGCCAAGGAAAGTTTTCTAAAATTCTCTTTTTAAATATTCAGAATTTGATTTATAAAAAGGTTTCAAGTGCCAACAAGTATAACAGTGTGCTTACACACGTACACACTCACACACACACATTCTCTCTCACACACACTCACACTCCAGATAAATGTGCCCTGGGAACATGTAATCTTAAAAGTCCACATTCTAGATGGTTAAAAGGAAACTGAGGCAGACTAGCTCTAGGAGAAAAAGGAGTATTTGAAAAACCTCTATCTCTTCCCCTCCCCACCATGACATCCACTCAAACTCAGATTTCAAGAAATACTTGTGGATAATTAAGAGTTAGCGTTGGAAGACAGATATTTTGTATGTTTACCTTTCAGTGTTTCCGCAGATAGTATTCAGTTTCCTTTTGTCTGCATTCCCCTGTTATCTCCTACCCTGCAGTTAAAAATTCCAGCTCTAGGCCAGGCACAGGGGCTCACACCCATAATCGCAGCACTTTGGGAGGCCGAGGCAGGTGGATCACTTGAGGTGAGGAGTTCCAAACCAGCCTGGCCAACATGGCGAAACCCCATCTCTACTAAAAATACAAAAACGAGCTGGGCATGGTGGTGCACACCTGTAGTCCCAGCTACTCGAGAGGATGAGGCAGGTGAATCGCTTGAACCCAGGAGGCAGAGGCTGCAGTGAGCCAAGACCATGCCACTGCACTCCAGCCTGGGCAACAGAGCAAGACTCTGTCTAAAAAAAAAAAAAATTCCAGCTTTAAAAACATGCAAAGAAAGGAACACCCAAGGAAACGGGTGGCAGGCGAGCTCCTCCTAGGTGTTCAGCGAGGAGCCAGTCCCGCTTTCTGGCCGGCAGAGCCAGCAGCCTGAATCATGGCCTTGGGCACAGCAGCCCCAGCCACATTGATCCCTGTGGGATGAGGACAATGGGGATTTGGTTAGTAAACTGCCTCAGTTTACCCCATTTGTCTCAGTGTACATTTATTAAGAGACAGTAATAGCAGTATAGGCCCCTGCAGGTTTTAGTGACATGAATTTCTTTTTTTTTTTTTTTCTTTTTTCTTTTTTCTTTTTTGATACACAGTCTTACTCTGTCACCTAGGCTGGAGTGCGGTGGCGCAATCTTGGCTCACTGCAACCTGCACCTCCCAGGTTCAAATGATTCTCCTCCCTCAGCCTCCCGAGTAGCTAGGACTACAGGCGTGCACCACCACACCTGGCTAATTTTTGTATTTTTAGTAGAGATGGGGTTTCACCATGATGGACAGGCTGGTGTCAAACTCTTGGCCCCAAGTGATCCACCTGCCTCAGCTTCCCAAAGTGCTGGGATTAGAGGCGTGAGCCACTGCACCTGGCCTAACATGAATTTCATTATATTAACATTTACATTAATATGTTTTAGGTCTTTACACTCTCCAACATTTCACACTGAAAATGATTTTGCCCACTGCAAATAAGCACCTGAATTTTCCGGTCTTCTAGGGTGATCAGCCGTCTCGTGTGCCTGAGATTGAGAGGGTTCTGGGACTGGGGACTTTCCATTTGAAAGCAATGACAGCCGGGCAAATAGGGATGACTTGGGCACCCCACAGTCTTGCCCCCTCCTGGTCTCCGCTTGGTGATGCTGTAATTGCAGTCAGTGTTTTGTGCTCCTCAACTGACGGGAGTGTCTGTCTTTTTCTAATGAGCCACCGCACATTGCTGAGTGGTTTGTAGACACCCAAAGCCTCTGATAGGCCAGTCCCCACTGCAGAGAGGAGAGTCTGGGAGGGCCACACAGCCCCTGGTCTGCTGGTGGCTCTTCAGCTCTGTGTGGCCGTCAGCAGGAGGATCCCAGCGCTTCCCTGAGGACAGAAGTGGCTTGTATGGGCTTTACTTTTTATTTTCCTCAGAGTGTTGGGGAAGATTTCACTTTGTCTGAATTCCAACATCACGGAAAGAAGCTCGGGCCCCCTGAAGAGTTCTTCCTGTAGCCGGGTGTGGTGGTGTGCGCCTGGAGTCCCAGCTACTTGGGAAGCTGAGGTAGGAGGACCGCTCAAGCCCAGGAGTTTGAGGCTGCAGTGAGCTATGATCACGCCACTGCACTCCAGCCTGGGAACCAGAGTGAGACCCTGTCTCTGAAAGTGAAAAATGAAACAGAATGTTTAAAAAGAGTTCTGTCTATCTAATGAACCCAGACTTTAATCCAGAAGGAAGTTTCCCCACCCCCCTAATTCCTTTTCATGGCCCCCATGCAAATTGTACCTATTGGGGAAACTGATACCGCCTGCTTTATGGATTCAGAGGGAGTGCAGTGATTTCTCCAGAAAACTCTGAGTGTTTCACGTTATTTGTGAGAAAAAAAAAAAATAGCCTTTGTAGAAAAGTTTGCCTAAAAATACATATTATGCAAATATCAGAAAAGGAAAAGAAAATGTTTTCTTGCTTATGTACATTCTCAAACAGTGATTGGATACAATCCCTCCTTGGGTAGCTTTTTAACATTCTTTTAGTGAAATATCTCTTAATTACTATGCCAAAAACATTCATTGTAAATACTAAATGCTGTCTTGCTTTAAAACACTTCCCATACTTTAAAAATTTTGTTTTTCTTTATGTCAAGGAACATAATGTACATTGCTTAAAGTCGTGGGATGGTCTTCGACAATTAGCAGAAAGAAACATTTCTGTAAAAATAAGCTTTTGATGTTTATATTTCATTTTTGGTGGTTTTTCAGATCTACCCTAGCCATCCAGATAGCAAGTGGTTTAGGCAGCCTGGCCCTCCTGGCCCCTAGCCCTAGTATTTTTCCAAACCACTTCCTTCCCCCTCTCTCACCTCACTTCCGCTTGGTCTCTGACACCTGCTCCCCCTGTTTCCCGTGACCCTGTTCTCTGTGGTCTCCTTCAGACAGGCTTGTCTGGCTCCATGTTCGTTGCTTTCTCTTCTCCAAAGGGTTGGGATTCCAGTCCATCCCGAGGTGCTGTAGATAGCCACAGCTCTAAGACGCTCCTGTCCCCTCTCGTGTCCTCCTGGCATGAGGACCACAGAGCCAGGATGCTCCAGCTGCCTCCTCACTCACCCAGGGCTGTGGAGATGACACCTGAGCTTCTGCGTCCTTTGTCCTTTGCCTTTCTGCTACTCCTGTTCATAGACACACCCCATAGGACCCACTGGGGAACTCACAGTGAGCCGCACCCACGCTGTACCAGGCTCTGTTCTGTGTGGCTCCATCTCTGACTATTTTACTGTGTCCCTGATGGAGTGAGTTTCCAGCCCTGAGTATTCCAGAGCTCTCATTGTATATTCATTTCATTCATAAAGCAATTGGATTGTTCCCCTCCAGCATACTGGCATACTTGTTCCAGATCTGTTAAGCCTTTGTTTTGTCCCTAGCTTCCTTCTCGGTAGCGTTTGTGTGTGTGTAGTGTTCGCTGGGTGGATTTATCAGCTTATTCAATCTTCCCAACCATCACCTAACACCATAGGCTGCCACGTACGCATCATCGGGAGGTCACAGTTACAGTGACAAATGGTCCTTGGCATTTCATGTATAACCGGTGTAGGGGAATCTGCTCCTAAAAGACTTTCTTTTTTAGCTATTGACTGCATGTGAACTTGCGAATCACATGTAAATATAGTAATTTCATAGTGTATATTTTCTTATCTTGATTTATAGAAAAGTCCTTTATTCTGCAGCTCATATATCACATCCCCATCCTCTGGGAAGGGATTAACCTACCAGCCTTTAAAGTGATACCTGGACAATCACAGCAGAAGCTTTGGTCCGTGTCACATTCAGGTGCCAGTTAGTAAAGAATCCCACCTAAACTAGTCCAGTACTCCTGGGTGGAATTCTGTGTCTTTCATCACCGTACAGCATTGGGAGAACAATGACTGGAGTCATCAGCCTGAAAGAAAGAAACACATAGTTTATATTGCTTCATTCTCACTGAGGAAAGGAAGGGCAGAGTCACCATGTGGAAAATGTGGGAAAGAAATGGCAGAAATTGTATTCTGTGCTCATCCTACTTGTTAATCACTCTTGAAGCATTCGGCTTTCCAGGTTAACCCACTTAATCAGTTTTGGTCTGAAGGGAAAAAAAAGGGGCAGAGGCAGCTTTGAAGGATTACTCCTGTGTCTTTTTCTATCGGCAGGACGGCTTTTCACACTTCTCTCGCACCTTTATGTCCTTCATGTTTCCAATCACATTTTATTTTTTAAATATCATGCCCTTTGAGCTGATAACATTTTCCAATTGAAAGTCCACTTTGTGACCTCAGAAGACTGTCTTTGGAGCTCTTGGGTATCGTGTGTTAAAGAACACAGCTCACAGCTTTTACGGCACACACATATCGCCGTCTGTGTCCAGCAGAATAGCTAGCAGCAGGTTCAAACCAATCCGCTGTTCTCTTGAAGCAGTTAAATCAAGTCCTGCACCCAAAAGGAAGGAGAGAACTGATTGTAAGATAACACCAAGCACTGTTGCACAGCTACATTGTATATTTATTTTAATATGTGGCAGAGTCTGGGAAGTTTCTTGTTTTATATGTCTAAAGAATTTTGGTTTTGGCCAGGCACAATGGCTCACACCTGTAATCCCAGCACTTTGAGAGGCAGAGGTGGGTGGATTGCTTGAGCCCAGGAGTTCAAGACCAGTGTGGGCAACATGGTGAAACCCCACCTCTACAAAAAATACAAACATTAACCAGCTGTGGTGGTGTGCTGGTGTGCGCCTGTGCTCCCAGCTACTCAGGAGACTTGAGATGGAAGAATTGCTTGAGCCCAGGGGGTTTGAGGCTACAGTGAGCCAAGATCACACCACTGCACTCCAGCCTGGGCGGCAGAGTGAGACCCTGTCTCACAAAAAAAAAAAAAAAAAAAAACATTGTTGTGTCTCCTAAGTTTAGGATTTGCTTAAATGTGTTTTATGTAATTCTTTGTTTTCTTCCCCCTCTTTTAAGGTTGCTGGTGTTGTCGGCCGTGCAGACCTCCTGTGTGCCCTGTTCTTCTTCTTGTCTTTCCTTGGCTACTGTAAAGCATTTAGAGAAAGTAAGCATTCCATTTGCCTTCTTAATTTTCCACCTTCTTCATGTTTTTGTCCTGTTGAGCAGCGTCTTAACAGGTGGGAAAGAATCCATCTATATGAGTGTGTCACTCTGAGGGGATGTGGACCAGAGGATGCATAAACTCTCTTTAGATATGTATGTCTGTTTGCAACGTCGCTGTTTCCATAATGCAAAGCTCTGACATTGGTGTTCACACTGTGGCCTATCCTATTGGGTATTGAGACCAAGAGCAGAAGCAGCAGCAGGATTGAGTTTTGCTATTTTATTTCCTGCAAAATTATAGGATTGCGAATGATTCCAGGACAGCCTTTCCTGTTTTGATGTTCCAGGTATTTATTGCCCAGCTGTCCTTCCACAGCTTCCAAAGGTGACTTGGAAAGAGCCAGGGAGATTTTTCATACACTGTCCCTCCTTCATCCCATCCTGTCCAGACTGAACCCAGGCTCAGGCCCTGTCTTGGAGCACCTGCGACTGCACTAAGGTGCAGTAGAAAAGTGACCCCAGTGGCCCTAGCCTGTGCCAATACCCACTCAGGGCATGGGTACACACAACCACACCCACCCCTTTATTATTATTACTTTATCATGCCTGGATAAAACCACCACTTCTTCCCATCGCTTGTCAGTTTTCTGATACATTAGAGAGTTTGGGGACAGCTGAGCAGAATGGCTTCAAGTATTGAGAATAGTGGTGGTGACTTTTCTTCCTGTAGCTTAGCAATAATGTACTTCAGTCTCTTCGTGGGGTGGGGGTCTCCCCACCTGTGATGATTATAAATCTCCCAAGAGACACGCAGCTGCCAGAGACCTGGCGAGGTTGCATCGGCTGGCCCCATAATGAATTCAGTACTGTCGTGTAGCTCTTCATGAGACAGTGAATCAGGAACGGGACTGGGAGGGAGGGGTACCTTCACTGCCTCACTGTTAACATTCACTACAGATAATGGTTCTTCCTTTTCAAAAGTTGGCAATTAAATCTGAATTTACAGATACAGATGATAACAGTTTATCAGAAATCATATTTTTCCTGAAGAAAATTAAAAATTAGGAGTTGTGGGCCCAGCGCGGTGGCTCACACCTGTAATCCCAGCACTTAGGGAAGCCGAGGTGGGCAGATCACTTGAGGTCAGGAGTTCGAGACTAGCCTGGCCAACATAGTGAAACCCCGTCTCTACTACAAGTACAAAAACTAGCCAGGCGTGGTGGTGTGAGCCTGTAGTCCTAGCTACTCGGGAGGCTGAGGCAGGAGAATCGCTTGAACCCAGGAGGCTGAGGTTGCAGTGAGCCGAGATTGCGCCATTGCACTCCAGCCTGGGTGACAGAGCGAGACTCTGTCTCCAAAAAAAAAAAAAGGAGTTGTGACTTTTCTCAAAGACAACTCTAAAGTTTCTGAAAGTGCCATTTTATTGATTTTAACATAATTTTAACATATCTTCCCTTAAAGTCACTACTCCCTATTCTGAATGGATTTCAAAGACATCAAAGTGATTTTTGAGGAAAGTACTGAACCTTGATAGATTTAACTTGTGGGGGACATCATTTAGTAGATATGATGGAACCTGTCACTACTTCTAAAGATTGCTCTTGTGAAATAATGAAAAAGCTATCATGATACGAAACACTCTTCCCTCAGGTGAACAGATACATGTATTGGCCTCCTTTAATGGAGTATTCTCACAGAAAAGTGAAAAGGCTAGATATTTTATATCCTTTTTCTGGAAGCTTTTACTAACCTTTTCTCTGTTTTAATTCACAAATTTGTATATTAGTATATATTACATGTATATTTTGCATACATTTGTAAATTATAAAATTATTTCCAAGTATCCATACAAAAGATACTTTTTTTATAAAGCTTTTGGCAAGAAACCAATACCAAAGTTAAAGAAATGTGTGGTGGCTGTTCAGTTAGTTAACACTTTGACTTACAAGAAATAGGCGAAGTATATTTCAGTACTGACATAAATATATTAACTGTAAGTACCAACATGACCTTTCTTTTTTGTCCGGTAACATTCTTTTAGCATTTATAATGTTTATTTTAAAATTGGAAAGAAATTACGAGGACTTTAATGTTAAGTTTGTAGATGTTTTTGAGAGTGTTAACCTGGGCGTTTTTGCATTTGCAAACCGATAGCAGTGGTAGATGTGGCTTCCGTAGAAACTTTTTTATGACTAGATTTTGATTTGGTTGAAGTTACTTGGGGCAGTTAAAAGACGGATGGATGGACTGGGAAACCTTTGAAGAATGCTTTCTCTTGACCTCTTGTCTGCAAGCTGCCCCTTCTTCATGGGATCTGTTCTCTTGTTAACATGAACCCTCTTGAGGAAAAGGAAAGCGCTGATTTAAATGGAGCCGATGGAGTCGCCTCCAGACTGGTCTCTGGGCCTTTGCAGGCACCAACAGCTTACTGGGTCTTTGGAAAATACAAAACTAAAATACAATATAAAATACAAAATAAAATACAAAATACAAAAATAAAAAACTACTTTGGACAGTAGTTTGCATCTTATGCTCATCCAGGCCTTGGTGTCTTGACCCCGAAACTGATTGTTCGTCCTGCATTTTGTGTCCTTCCTGTCCCCTCATGGTGCCCACCTGCCCTGGCAGGCTTTGAGTTACGGATCATCACAGTTTTTCTCGGCAGTGTAAAGTGGACGGTTTAAAACACCCATCCTCGAGCTGCAGTTTCCATCCTTTGGAATTGGCTTTCACTGCTATTTTCCATTCCCACTCATCGCTTCCAGACTCCCGCCAGAGTGATCGGATTCTGCCTCAGTTCCATCCCAGGCCTGGAGGCGCAGAGCCGCCTGGATTCTTGAGAGAGGGCCGTAGACACACGGTGACCAGCTTACTTGGGGGAGTCCCCTGTGTCCCACATGTGAGCAGGTCTCTGACCCCTCCCCAACAAGGTTCTGTGCCCTGAGACCCACCCTCTGTCACTTCAGGACCTCAGGACTGGATACCCAGCCCCACCCACCTCGTTCCCTGGCCCAGCGACATCAGAACAGCCCCTCACGCTGCCAGCCCGTCTCTCCCCTCCTCCTCACAACTCCCAAAGTTCCCTTTGTCTTATCAACCCCAGAGCCGGGGGTAATGAAGTCTGCTGGAGCCTCTCCTAGTCTCTTAGCAGAGGCACTGTTTTTAGCAACTTTTCTGTTTCTGATTTTCCATACTCCTTTTTAAACATGCTAAGAATAGAATGTGCTTCTTTGTTGATAGATGACAACTCTTTGGAATAATCCTTGAACATCATCATGTTAATGTTCAATTAAGTTCGTAGGGTGCTTAAGGGTCTTTTTTAGGAGGAGAAAACTTTCTACAAATGAATAATAACTTTACAGAGAAGAAGCAGTAAGAGCCCCATATGCAAAAATAATTCTGGTTAACGTGTTCGTGAAAAGCCGTGGTTTCTGATTCTGTTCTAAAATAGTAGAAAGGCTTATTGATTTTAGTCATTCATTCCATCACCAATAGTTAATCAAACTTTAAGGGTGTTTCTTGTACCAGGTCCGGTTTCCGGTGCTGGAGATACAAAGACTAGAACAACAAAGTTCATGCCCCTGAGGGGCTTACCGTAACTCCAGTATATTTTGATTAAAATAAAGCTTCCGTGATTCAGAATGTCTACAGAGCAGAATATTCTGGTTCTCCTTCCTTTCCTGTTGACTTTTTCCTTCCTGTACCCCTCATAGCAGGCACTCAGTAAGGATCCTTTCTTTTCATGGTGTGTTTATGCAGAATGGGAGGCCATGGCCTTTATTCTACTTATTTCCTTCATCTTCTATTAAATTTCCTTCAGTACAACAAAACAGAGCTCTTGATCCTAATGAAAATTCAATTGTATATATATTTTCATTTGGATCAAGAGCTCTGTTCCTTTGGAGTTTGAGATATCTTAAACAGTCACATGTTTATTTACTTATTTATTTTGAGACCAAGTCTTGCTCTGTTGCCCAGGTTGGAGTGCAGTGGTGCAATCTCAGCTCACTGCAACCTCTGCCTCCCAGGTTCAAGCGATTCTCCTGCCTCAGCCTCCCAAGTAGCTGGGACTACAGTCACCCGCCACCATGCCCAGCTAATTTTTGTGTTTTTAGTAAAGACGGGGTTTCGCCATGTTGGCCAGGCTGGTCTTGAACTCCTGACCTCAAGTGATCCGCCCACCTCAGCCTCCCAAAGTGCTGGGATTATGGCCTGAGCCACCGTGCCCAGCATTGGTTTTTTTGTTTGTTTTCTGTGGGTTTTTGTTGTTGTTGTTGTTTGAGATGGAGTTTTGCTCTTGTCGCCCAGGCTGGAATGCAGTGGCACAATCTTAGCTCACTGCAACCTCTGCCTCCCAGGTTCAAGCGATTCTCCTGCCTCAGCCTCCCGCCGTGTTTTTATTTTACCCTATCTAGTCAGTACAAATTGTACAAAAAGCCGAGTGGTAAACACATGTATTTATTGTCATTGCAGTGGTGATTTCTTGTTCCAAGTGCATGTGTCTATAAATGTTCAGCAGAGAACAAAAACTAACTCTTTTGTGGTAGACAAGTCCATTATTTATTGAGATACAAATAATAATGCTATTTAATGTTTAAATTTCAGGTTTAAAGTAACCCTGGTCTTTGTACTTTTGGGATCTGAACATAAATTCAAAGAAAGGCCTAACATCAGAGGAACAAATTTAATATTATTTTATAAGGGAACAAAAAATTAAGTACTCTGAAATTAATGATTCAACTAGTTAATAAGTTCTTTCAGAGAATGCATTTTTTTTGGTAACATCGTTAACTTTTTTTATGGATGGGATGTCTTTATTATAAAGCTCTGGACAATTTTTAACTGCTTGAGTTTATTCACAAGCAATCCTGTCCTAACCTCTGGAATCCTAGTATTTTCAGAAAATGAAGATCTTACTCACATTTCTGGGACTCTTCTTTTTTTTTTTTTTTTTTTGGTGCATAAATAGAATGTCTAGCAAGATCTTTGCAACAGAATTTT